AGATCCACCTGGCTCTGCCTCCCGAGTGCTGGGATTAAAGGTGTGCGCCACCACCGCCCGGCTCCTAAGTGTCCTCTTAATGTTAGGAGGAGGCCCAGTGTGGTTCAGTTGGGCACAGACACTGGGGGATCTGGCAGCAGCAGGGGGGTTCAAAACCTTTATTGGGCCATTGGGTGTGTGACCTGGGGCTCTCAGGTCTGAGCTGATATGGGAAATAATGGTCAGAGAAGGACAGGGCCCTGGGCAAGACTGGTGCAGGCCAGCAGACAGCCTTCGGAAGGGACTGTGGGATGCACGGAGAGGGGAAGTAGAGGGGCAGAGACCGTGGGAAACAGGCACTGGGAAGGCTCCGGGGTCCTCCAATGCTTGAGGGCAAGGTATAGGTAGGATGAAGAAGGGGAGATCACCAAGGGAGCTGAAGATGGCAAGGAGACTTGGGTCCAGAGTCCTCCTGTCCGGACCTTGGGAGAAGGGCTTTGACTCTCCAGGAAGACCCAAGTGTACAGTCCAGCAGGGACTGGCGGGGCTAGGGTCCAATTAGCACCACGGAGGGGAGATGGATGAGGGCTGAGTGGGCGTGGTGGGCATGTGCTAACAGATCCAGCGGATGAACCTGTCGAAGAAGCTGGGCTGGGCCAGACTGTCAAAGTCTTTCTCCCGGAAGATGGCCGCCCTGTCACCCAGGCTGATCTTGGTCAGCACCTCCATGTCCACATCACTGCCCACGGCGACCACGGTGGGCACCACATTCTGCTTGCGCATGGAGTGCACCGACTCCTCCAGGCTTTCGTTGCCCGTGACACCATCCGTGAGGAAGACAAAGGAGAGCTCTGCGTGACGCCGCGCCCCGCCCCGTGCCCCCCGCACCACATTGTTGATGGCATGCACGATGCCTGCGCCCACGTGAGAAAAGGAATTGAGGTAGGCAGTTCTTTCCAGCGCCTCATGGATGGTGGTCAAGTTGTAGGTCAGCGGGAAGGCCACCTGCTGCTGGTTCTGGCTGCCATACTGCAGCAGGGCCATGCGCGCATTGAGTGGGTCGTCATCCCTTCGCGCCAGAGTCAGGCGCCGTGACACCTCCTCCACGAAGCGCCGTGCCTTGTGGAAGTTCTGCTCGCCCAACCGCTCCGAGCCATCCAGCAGGAAGACAATGTCCACGGGCCTCTGTGTGCACTGGGCCACATAGAGCTCTGCAGGGAAGACGTAAGGTGGGCCCAGGCATGCAGGGGTGGCCAGCTCGAGACTCGCCCCATCTCTGCATACACCCTGCCCCCTGGATCCCAGATCATGGGACTTTGGGGCTTCACCCACAGCCACCAGTGGAGGCCTCAGTAGAGCAGTCCCAGGTGATGTCCTTGACTCAGGTTCCTTTGGGAGTAGGTCTAGGGTTCCCTGGGACTGTCCCTTCAGTGGCCCCAAACTAGTGGACCAGAGATCTGCCTAGAGGCCAGAAGATCCATCTTTTGTCGCCAGGCATGGTCTCAGCCTCAACCAGCCACCTCTGGGACCCTCAATAGCCCCAAAGTCCTCACTCAGTCCAAGATATAGCTACTCACATAAAGGTCATTCTTTGGTGGGGACAAGATAGGGCCTCTGGACCTGACGCCCTCTTCCAGGGGTCACTTACTTCTGAGTCACCTGGTCTGTCTGAGCCATAGGATATGGCTGAAAGAATCCAGGTGGGCCCTTGGTGGTCTCACTGCCACCAAGAGATGCCTTCCTCAGAGGGTGGATGGTCACCAGCCCTGACACACTATGGAAGCCAAAGCCACACTTCACACCACCACACAGGTATCAGAAACCACAGGCTAGGGCCTGGGTACCTATTCACCAGACATCCATCTAGGCTTTCCTTAGATGAAGATGAGTTCAGCTCGCCCATGTATGCTGTCATGGCCCAATTATTTGGGACGCCGGGGAATCACATTAAGAACATCCTGACTCCAGTCATGTATGACCAAGAATGCTGAGACAGGACCCAGCTGCCAGAGTGCTAACCCCCATCCCACCCAACCCCAGTTGTGTGTGAGGGCCCATCCCAGTGTATACTAGCCCAACTTGGCATTTGACCACAGCGATGCATTAAGTTACAGGTTTCGTCTTTTTATAAAATGTTTAACCTGGCTCACTCCCTCTGAGGCTGAGCCCTGGGCCAGGGAGTGCCTGTGGATAGGCAGGGTCATTCTTACAGAGCTTACTAGCTACATACCTTACTTATTGTCCACCATCCCTGGAATCTTCTCAGAATATCTAGAAATTTTTTTTTTTGTGGGGAGGGGGCAACTGGACTTCCTAGCTCCTCGTAATTGACAGGCACCCTCACAGTTATTACCACAAACCCAGAGGCAGACATACAGTAGGGGTGGTTGGCTTGGGCACATTTCCTTAACATCAACATCTACAGGGCCTGGGGGAGACCGGGAAAGGCTGGTGAAGATCCATATGTAATTGGGAGTTTGGGGTCTCAGGGGGTCTCTGTGCTTCATTTCTGTGGGGGTCCCTTCTTCTACTTGTGACCTCACAGCAGGGAGGGGGTGTCACCTTCCCAGGAGGATAGGTCTTACCCTGGGCTAGCGGGGCACAGATAGAAGAAAGGACATCAGTCCAGCCTGATGAGGTGCCTTGAGACCAGTGAGAAAATTCCAGGTTCATGAGCTTGCCTTGATGGCTCGTGACTTTGCAGTGGGTCCCTTGCTATTCCCCACACTGGGGAGAGGATGCCTTTATGGTTCTCAGTCACGTGACCGAGGCTATCAAAAGCCCTGCCTGTTGGATACTCTCATGATGCCTTCATATATCCAGAGACCTGGCTGAGCATACAGGTGTTTGGGGCTCACTGGCAGACAGCTCTGGCACTCGGATCTCCTGCTGTGACAGTAGCTGAGGGGTATTAAGGCCATTGTCACATCCGTGTGGTTTCTGTGGGTTATAAACACATACCTGACACCAAACATGAAGCCCAAACAGAAGCAGGAAAGGGGGGGACCTCCTCAAGCATTCAGATAGCACCCCACCCCAATCTGTGCTCTGAAATACAGGAGAGCTCAGCTCGACTGAGGTGGTGTGCTCAGCTGAAAGATTCCCAGAGGCCTGTATCTCAAGAACCTCAATATAATGCCCTCTGTACAGTCCTTTGCCAGATGTGAGCTTCTGGGGTTTAAGGTGGGCCTTCAATCCAATCACTGATGTCCTTTTAAAAAAGAGGAGGGGGGAAGAGGAGGGGACACAGACACAAAGTGAAAAGGCTCTGGGAAGGTAGACAGGATGCTGGGGTAGTGTGCCCACAAGCCAAGGATGGCAGCTCTACCAGAGGCTGGAGGAAGTAGGAGGGACCCTCTAGAGAGTATAACACTAAAGACATAAGATTCTGGACTTTGTCCTCAGGACTAGGAGGGCAGGTCCCTGCTGCCTAAGGCCTCAGTTTGTGGTGGTAGCCCTGGGAAGCTAGAAGTGAGGGGTTATCTCTGGCTGGAACCCGAGGCTTTAGCAGAGCGCCAGTGCAGAGTCTGGGTCCCCTGTGATATCCCTGTGCACCAGTTTAAAGGTGTCAATAAACAGCTGCATCCAGTCCTGCCGCTCGACCCCCGTGGAGAACTTGGCCCTCTCCGCGGTGTAGACCATCACAGCCACCAGTTGGGAGTAGGCAGCTGGGTTCTGTGTGAACTCCGTGGCGTTTAGCAACTGCTGGATCAGGGGGATGGTCTTGGGGAAGGTGGGGTCCGGACCCTCTTCCGTGCGGAGGAAGGTGACCGGGGGCTTGGTGCCAGGCCATGGTTCATCTGCAAGGGAGTGTCCAGAGAAGACTTTAGGGGCTCCAGTGGGTGTGGCTGGCCTCCAGCCCTCCTTAGGCCTCTGACCACAGACAGTAGTTGGGACCAAAGAGACGGAGCCAGGGGGACAAGTAGGAGATGGAGCAGGTGGTGGTGTCTGGTCTGGGCGGGAGGCCTGCTGGGGTGGAGAAGCTGAGAGCAAGCAACACAGCCAAGGAGGCAGCCTAGCAGCAGCTTTGGGGTGTCCACAGAGCTCTAGGGAAGCCCAGCATGGAGCATTAGTGCCCAAGGCCAACCGACGAGAGATGTGCACAAATGCTGGAAACGTCCCCAGTTCAGTGCTACATCCCTACGTCCCCGGGAAGAAGCAGCTCCAGAGAGTGCCCACAGACAAAACCACACCACTAACATTTGTCCCACACATGATCTGCTATGCCAGGACCTGTCCTCAAGGGTCTGAGATAGTGGTACAGACACCAAGGAAGAGCGAGATCCTCTCTTCCTCCTTCCCTTGCTCCTTCGTCACCTCCTCTCTCTTCCGCTCCTTTCTCCCCTCCCTTATTTCCTCTTCTCTCTTTTTGTGTCCCAGTCTGTTTCTTTCTTTCCTCCCTTCTCTTCATGCCCCTATTCCTCTTCTCTGTTCCTTTGTTTCTTTATCCCTTCCTCTCTCCTTCTTTGTATCTTTCTCTCTCTGCCTCTTTACCCCCCCCCCACACACACACTCCTCCCTCTTTCTGGCTTCCAGTGCCTGCTGGAGTGGAAGGGTATGACTCAATGGGTGTCATGGCCAAAGTCACTCCCTTTTCTCTGGTAACCACGGAGGCATGAGGAAACCCAGATGTGTCCAGCCCAGGACCAGAAGGACCTTGGGCCTCCCTGGGGACACTTCCTTCTCTAGAGGCTCCCGTCTCTTTTCTCTACAGTCAGTGCTCAGGTCTCGCTGCAGTCTTTAATACCATGGTCATTACTGATTTTCTTCCTACAGTTTTGAGCTTCTCAGGCACTCTCAGTAGGTCCCTCATGATTGACACCATCCCTGGCTCGAGGCAGGCTTCTGGGTGGACAGGGCTGGCTATTTGGCTCAGAGGGTCAGGGCTAGGTCAGAGTTGGAAGTGTTCTTAACACTGTATCCACACCAGAAACGCTCACAAGGATGCTCTCATCCAGGACCTTGGTCGTAAAGACACTGTCTAAGGTCACCGTGTCCCCAGACAATATACCTAATTTACCTTGAAATTTCCTATAGCAGTAAACACAAATGTGCTTTATAAGGCCAGTGGAAGGGGGTTAGGGAGCTGGGAAATGTGGAGGGGATCTTGTAAGGAGCACTGTGCTTTGTGGGGCCCTAAGACCTCAGTGTAGGCTGAGGTCCCCATTTCCTCCTGATCTTGCCACCCTCCAGAGCTGGTGTGCTTGCAGGTGGAAACTGTCTGGCCCTGGCCCCCATCCTGGAGCCACTGCA